AAAAAAAAACTTAGCAGAAGCATCAGACCAGATATAGTATCAATATTCAATGTATGAATCAATGGTAGACTCATAAATGTGTAAGATAAATTCTGGGAAGAAAGATTGTCTGGTGAATCAATTTTCTTGCAGCAGACCTATCAATTGATTCAATATGATATTTCTAGTTCATGTCAGTAGAAAAAAGTAGTTTGAGAAGGCACAGTGAGTCACTCTCTTGGAGGTTAGCATCAGCCATGCTGATGGAAGGTAAAAAAAATTTTTCGATTTTTAAAAGAGCAGCTTCATTTTTTGAATTTTAAAAGTTAAAACAGATTAATACCTCATTTTGAGATCAGCTTTAGAATTACATTATTGAACTGATCAGTCATTATTAATACAAGAGTAAAATAATATGGTAAATATTATATGTAAATATTAGATAATTTTTAGTAGAATTATTTTTCTGTGTGTATTTAAACTAATCTCTAAAAGAAGTGTTCATTTTCAGCATACTTTTTACAAAAAAAAAAATTTCTTGTGTTTTTCATTTATGAAATTATTATTTCAAAATAATTTCCTGTATCAATGATTTATACATATATGTTTGCATGAATAATTTATTTTAGAAATATGAAAATATTATTATAAAACAAATGTTTTATTTTCTACATTAAAATGTATGTGTATAAAATAGGATATAGAATCCTGACAAAGTTTTGAAGAAATATGACAAATGGTAAACCATTTCATTGAAACTAGAAAAAACTCGGAGAATATATAAATAACTTTCTACATGAACAAAGAATTATAAAGAAAAGACACAAAATAAATATTAACACCTTTTTTAAAAGACCCTTATTTTCATTCTTTTGTTTCATCTCAAGAAATACCAGCTTAACAGAAAATGTACTAATGATTCATTGAGCATACATACAAATACACACACATTTTTTTCTTTGTTTCTGATGAAATCTGGAAAGGCAAAATGTGTAATCAAATTTAGTTACAATGAAATGGTTTTCTATTTGTCATATTAAAAAAATTAAAATGTATACAATAATGGTATACTGTATCAATAAGAACATTTTGCTTATTTTCCATATAAATAAATGTCAAAGGAAACTATTTTCAAGCTTTTAAAAATAAATTATTTTAAATTATGAAAATCATCTCAGTAAATCAAGGGTAATTAAGCCTTGTTTTGCTGTGAGAACTTACTGGAAAAAAAAATCATAATTAAAAGGAGGCTTGTAAGTTTTACTGTTATTAATCAATCAAATGTGACCAGTGCTAAATACAACTGAAAAAATTTTTTATACAGGTCATGGTATGAAGTTGAAGAGACACATTAGTAGCGTTGAAACATAATTGCTATTGTGTAATGATTTTTTAACATGTTTTGTTTTAATCTCCAATAATAAATTTTATATATATATATATATATATATATATATATATATATATATATATATATATATATATTTTAATGCTATTTTTTGCTGGATACCCATATTTGAGTAGACACTTTTATTATTTTCAAAAGTATTTTATAGCAAATAAAACCTTGCTTCATTATAAATTCTTCATTGTTTAAAACAAAGGAGAATGCAGGTTCACCAAAAATGCAAGAGGACACATTTTTAAAATTCTTATTTCTCAAATGTTCAGGTTAGTAAATGAAATAATATAATGTTTAAAATAAACTATAAATTTCATTTGGTTTATCCATTAAAAATAAATGTTTACAGTAAAAATTTATATATATATATATATATATATATATATATATTAAAATAAATATCCAAAATCTTAGAAAGTAAATCTGGTACCAAACAATAGCATTATGTGCTTTAGAAATGTGTTTGTCTTGATCTCTGAAAGTGTAGCTGACAATATATTTGCCTTAAAACTTGATCTACAGTTCAATTGACTAATTTTTGGCAAGGAAGATAACTGTTAATCAGTTAATTCTAGTTGGTCTCAGTTACTTACCAGGATTTTGTTAACGATTTTACAGCAATAGTTTTCTATTAACTTTTGTAAAGTTTGAATGGATAGCTTTTTTTTTCTTTTTTTGTTTTTGTGTTTATTTTTTTGACTATTTATGCCTGTACTTTCTGTGGAGGACTTTTTGTAAGAGCCTTATTCTTCGTCTGCTAAAATAAACAAAAAACACATCCAAGAACCAAACTACTATCTGTCCTATTTTTTATATCAATGTTTGACAATATGTTTATTTTTAATTATTTCACTTCAAGCAAGTGGATACAGCCACTAAATTGTATTAAATTCTTGGATTGAATTAAAATATAGAAAAAAAAACATTATTAAGTTGATAAAATAAAAAAAATAGGAATTCAAAATTTTAAAAAGAATATAATAATTGACATTGGATTTAAATTTTTTTAGAAACAACAAAGTTGATTGGGAAGCAAGAAGCTGGAATAGAGTTCCAGAATAGCATGGAACTTACAATTATATCTAGTCATTTCAGCTGTAAAATGATGTCAAAATATTACAGGGCTTAAAATCTTAATCAAGGTACCAAAGAGGAAAACTCATCAGAACAATCACCATAAAAATATTTATACTATACAAAATTGGAGAATTTACATTATGACAGTTAAAAGTTCACTTTTTCTAAGATGCCAGCTCATGATTGATAACATTGCAGATTTTTTAAAAAATTTTATCAAGAATCTCTAGATATATAGCAGAAGCACCAGATGATGTGATAGCAAAATTCAATGCATGGACAAATGTTAGACTTATAAATGTGTAAAATAGATTCTGACAAGAGAAATTGCCTAGCACAACACATAAATCAACATTCTTAGCAGCAGATCTAGATATTGATTCTATATAATCTTCCATTTCATTTCAGTGGAAAAAGTTAACTCTAGAAGGTGTAATGATTCACTTTCCTGTAGGTTAGCATCAGCCATGCTGATTAAAAGGCAAAAATGGCTCTCTAAGATGATCAAAAGAGAACAGTTTCATTTTGGAGGTGTTAAAATTAACAAGCCATTCCTTGCCCAGTCTAACAATAGAGTGTAGGACATTTTTTAGATCAGCTGCTAATATGCTATTATCAAACTTATCAGACTTACCATTAATGAGTAAATAGTAAATCTTACAAAATAAATGTTCTAATAGCATGAAAAACAGAACCTTTAGCACTCTGCATTATTAATATTACTTCCCTTTCAGCTGCATTCTTTTTCAAGACTTCTCACTTACAGTATCTTCATTGTTAATTTCACACAAAGTTATTTTCTGTTGCCATAGCAGGATATGACACCACAACTGTGAAATTCAAGCACAATATTGTTCACGGATCAGAGTCACCTTCAATGGCAGGGTAAAATATTTGATACAACAAATGAAGTCACACACAGAGTAATAAAGGTTAAATTTAATAGGCAACATTACACACATGAAAATAGTAGTGCAGTATATATATATATATATATATATATATATATATTCATCTGAAAAGATCAAAATAAAAATGTGAATACTTGTAGATAATCAGTTCCTATCATCAATGATTACAGAATATGTTCTTGATGTTCTTGTTTTTGAAGAATTACTTCATTATATTTATATAAATAAATTCAATACTAATAAAGATAATTTTCCAAAGTTTTTTTTTATGTAGGTTTCTTAACAATACTAGTATATGTTAAAAAACAAAAAGAAAAAAGCCTTCTTTTTTTTTTGTAACAGCTAAATTTAAGGAAAAGTTTTGTAAATTGATTTTTGCATCTCACCATTTATTCAGTATAGGGGTTATACAAAGGGTGCTGAAAAGTTCCCAGCTTCACCCACTTCCAAAAATCTTACCCAAATGAATTTACTTTGGAACCCCTTCTTAGGTCAGGCAGAAAATTGTTCCAGTAACAGTACATCCTCATACTTAAATTAAATACTGATTATTCAAACTTTGCTAAGTGTCATAAAACCTATTAAAAATAGAAAATTACAGTTAGTATGTGTCTATATATATATATATATATATATATATATATATATATAATTGTGTATTTGGTCAGCAGTCCTTCTTTTATACAAGTTTCATTAGAGATGACTGACAAGGTACTGTGATAAAGCACCTTATTCAATTTTTCTTGTGTTTCTTTTCTGGATATAAAGTGTGAAAAAACTGTTCAAATATTCTAATATATCCAAGTGCTTTTAGCTATTCTATTACCCATTATTAAGGAGTTTTTTTTTCTAAATTTTTAACTGAATATGTTTTAGCTATTCTATTAGACATTATTAAAGGTTTATTTTTAATTTCTTACTGAATATGTAGTTGTATTACTGTATATATGTGTATCTTTAGGGATGGGAATGTTTTCTTTTATTTTCCATTAGCACATTGTGGTAGTGTTCATTTTCATAGTTGGTATATTGAGTACTGGCTTTTTTCTTTTTTACTGTTGTCATTATTTTCAGCCTTTTTTTACATATGGCTGTTATAGTTGTGTATATATATATATATATATATATATATATATATATAATTACACACACATACACACACTACCAATGTATTACTAAGTGAAGGATAATCTATTTTTAGTCAAGCAGTCTTAATAATTAGAGTGCTCAATATTAAAAAATAAAGCATTTCATAAACAAATAAATCAAAGTTCAATGTGTGTGTTCTTTTATTAAACTTGGTAAAACTGGAAAAAGTAATTTTAGGACAAGTTTAATTAGTACTTTGCCAATACTTGTTAAGCAGAAAGTCTTAAAGACAATTAATAGAGAGGAAATGTAATAATGGTGATTTTTTTTCTCTCTATCAATCTCTTATGAGGTTTATTTATTTGTCTTGATGATTTGTCCACTGCTATAAAACAATATCAATATATATATATATATATATATATATATATATATATATATATATATATATATATATATATATATAATTTAGAAAAAAAAAGAGGACGTCTTAACTCAAAATAGAAAAATGTGTCATAAGTGTGACGCACTGGCTTCGTCAGACCGCTCATCGTCTCCATTCTCTCTTTCCAATCCCCTCCCTTACTAAACAAGTTATCTTTCTCTTTCAAAGAGTGAGAGGGTTTTTAGTTTAGCGGTACGGGCATGGGGCATGGTGGGAGAATACGAGAAGAAGGAGGTTTCCCCTCCTTCCTCGTTAGTCATAAACACTGTTTTTCGTTTCACAATTAGTCATGTCGCTTGGAATGTTTCTTCATTGTTATTCAAAGTTCTAAATCTGCCCCGGCTGAGGAAGACGCGTGTAGTTTTTATTCTCTTCGCTAAGTAAGTTTTTTCCCCCTCTTAATATAGGTTGAGAGAGAAAGAGAGAAAAAAAGAGAATGAGTATATGAATGAATGAGAGAGAGTGATAAACATGTGTTTCATACAATACTGTACTTAATTTCTAAAAAGTTTTTAGTATTTAAGTCTGTTTTGAATTTTCAATTTGTTTTGTGTTTATACATTTGAATAAGTTGTGTATTGTAATACGTTTTGAGAACTATCTCTCACACCTGTTTTAGTTCTTAGACTTCTTCACTTGCTTACTTCTTAGTTTTTTAACCTATAATTCTTTTCGTTTTTCTTTAAAATCCAATTAAACTAAAAAGTAGCCAAATTAAAATTAAGTTGAAGTTAAGAAGTGGCTATAATTATTTTCATTATCTCTTAATTCTTAGAATTCAAGACTAAGTTAAAAATTTGTGTAAACAGAAACTAAACAGTAAAACTAAGTAAATTCAATATTTTTTGTTTATTATTTTTTGTAAATCTGATACAGTAGTTTTTAAGTAATTTATTTTTTAAAAACTTCCTCTATTTAACCATAAAGTCAATTAATTTTGCTCAAAATAATAAATTTACTATGTCAAGCATTTCAAACATTTTAGTCTTATTGTTAAATAAGGAAAATATCGTTTGTTTATGGTAGTTCTACTCGTGAGAAAACGGTAAGTAATTAACTGAATGTAAAATTTATTATAAGTAAAAACTAATTTAAATAAGTCTTCAGCCTATAGTAAGAAAAAAAAGTTCTCTGAAAGCCGCCATGTTACAAACACAAACAGCATCGATTTCAACATAAACATGGTTATTTATACACATACACACACCTTGCTTATTTTTGCACCAACTCAATCCAAGAATTTGGGGCTGTGCTGTCAAAACAAATTTTGTTACCATTAATCCATAAATTCTGATTTTATACGAACATAACAAAACCAAAATTCTTTCTTCAATTTCTTCTGTACTTGGGACATTTTTTTTTTTAATTTTTTGTAATTTTAAACAATTTGTTTCCAGCTGAACAGCTGTTTTTTTAGCATTTAAAATGAAAACTTTTCAATGGTTTGATAGAGAAATATCTACGATTTTTTCCAGTAGTCTGGCCAAAATTTCCTGTGGTCAATGCTGTCTCTTGTAGACTAAAAGAATGGCTTTATTTTATTTTTTTCATGCTGGAAACAAATTCAATAACTAGCCTCCCCCGATCAATTCACAAATATAGTTTTTGACTTTTGTAGCAGAGTACAGTACTATTGCATGTTTTCGTTAATTCGCTCAAGTGGGCACAATCTCTACTTTTTTTTTTTTAGTCTGTGCTTACTTTTAAACAGCTAAGTTGTGTTGTTGCATTGTCTTGTTTTCGAAGAATCGAAATTTAGGAAATAGTTCACGTGCGTGCAATACTAAAATTCTGACAGCTAGAAGGAATATTAAGTTTATTTTACGTAACTTTTAGTTTGTTTTTTTTTTTTTTTAGTCCGATTTCTATATGGCAACACACAGCCTGAGCTATTCTTTAAAAATAAATTTAAAAAAAACAAAACTTGTTTCTCAAATAAATCATAAATGTAATTTTTTTTGAGAAATTTAAGCTGCAATTTAAGAACTCAGTATTTTTTAAATACTAGTACTTAGTTGCTAAATTAATGTTTTTACTTTTTCTACACTAAAACAACCAAACTTACTTTTTAATTATTCAGTTTTTTTTTTCTAGTTAAAGGATATTTCTCGCGCACCTGTTAAAAAAAAATGACCGCTTCGTTTTGGCAGTCTAACAACACTAGTATTAAAAACAGAAAGCTATCAATACATTTAGGTACCTACTTCTAACTTCTTACTTCTGATTTTTTTTTCAAAACTACTCTTAAAATAAATAAAAGATTTTTAACTTTCCCATCTGAATTCGTTTGTTAAAACTACATTAGTTTTTCTTCAATAAAATTTTTTTCACAGATGACATCATCATTATGACATAATCTTTTCTTATTCTTTTTACGAGTAAAAAAAAAAAAAAAAAAGTAAATGGGTCTTTCTAAATATGAATTGAAAACTTAAATGATATTTCTTTACTACTTTGTCATTGACTCATTGTGGATTAAAAACTGCTGCTTAGGAAAAACATTGTAAGTGAGATTGTTCCTGTTGCAAAAGTCCGACTCCTTGCTATTTTGGAACAGCATTGGAATCTGTTTTTGATCGAAGTTTTTTGTGTTTACTTTTTTGTGAGCTAGGAAAGAAAGCAACTTTATTAGTAGCATGAAAGTAAATTTTACTTTTATATCAAAATATTGTTAGTTAATGTTAATTAGTGAGAGATTGTTTGTGCTAATACTGCTAAGCTAATAGTTTTTAATTTTTTTTAAGTTCATTCATTCACAATTTCTAAATCTGAATTTTTCTCGTTTTTTCTTTTTTCTTTTTTTTTAAATTTTACTCTTTGTGCACATTGCACATAAAACATTTTTACCATTGGAAAGAGCATCTTCTAAATCTTTCATTTGGAATTAGAATTTTGGACAAAACTTGTATGAATTATGGTTTTCTTTTTTTTTTTTTTTTTTTTTTTTTTTTTCATATTTTCTAATTTCAATAAATCTTTTTGTTTAAGAGAAAGTAATACTGTTGCTGATGTTAATTTAATTTGTTTTTACTACGCTTCCTAAATACAGTGTTGCTATGAAGTTTGAAACAAAGAAAATTTATTAAATGAAGTAAAGAAGCGAAAATAATTTCATTTTTTCATATGACGTTTTTTAAAGTGAGCTTTATTTTTAAAAATTTAAAGTGACTATTCTCATTTTTTTCTTTTCTTTTTTTTTTTCCGCGATTTTAAAAAAAAAAAAAAAAAAGCGTTCGTCAATATCCAGATTTTATTGAATATTAATAATTAATATTTAAATTAAAACCAAGGTGTAAACACTTTTTTCTTTTAAGTTTATCAAACTTAGAAAATAAGGTACAATGTCAACAGCATTTTCGTAAAGGTTTTTTTGTTTTTGTTTTTTTAGTCAGTACTCCCAAGAGAGAGAGAGATGGTGTAAGTAATTGAGTTGAGTGTGTGTGATTCCTCGTGTGAATTGTTATTATTTTTGCTTAGTGTTGTTTTTTTTGTTTTTTTTTGTCTGTTCTGTTCATACATTTGAAATAATTCTTCCTTCGGTATGGAATTATTCAAGGTAAAAGGAAAAGGAGTGTATTGCCATTCTTACTATTGTTTGTGCTACAGGTTTTTTGTTTTGTTTTTTTATTTAGTGGATGATAGTATTTTTAACGCTAAGAAAATTTACTTTTGGCAATAAAATACTTGCTTTTTAAAATGAACACTAATTTTCTTTTGTGATTTCTGAAAATGGAATAATCTAGTTCTAGTACATGCATCTTTTTCTCGGGTCTATGACTAACACAAGAAAAACGCCGTCAGTGATTCATAGAATGAAAAATAGGCAGAAGAAAGAACAAGGGTGGTGTAAGTGAATGATGTCATTTTTAGTGCTGCTGCTGCTAATAATTATCGTGTATGGTAACGAGCGAATTCATCTCTATGGATTTCTTCATATACCCCAGTGTAATTATTAATATTAATCTGTTTTATGTGCTTAAAAATAGTTTCTTTTTGCTGTGTTATTTACGGTTTTCATTAAAAAATAAATTAACTTAATTTTAAGGTTTTTTTTTGTTTTTTGCAAAAAGTGATTGAAGTTTTATAAAGTTTCTCTCTAAGAGTTCTCGGTGTTTAGGTCTGTTTCTTTTTTTTAGAGAAATTTGTATTTGTTTGTGTCAACAATAAATTGTATTTTCTTTATCACTCCTTTTCAGTTTTCATCTTGTAAAATTAAGTTTTGAAATTGAAAGTTTAGTGATTACCCCCATTAAAATTTCGATCAATACTTAAAAAAGCATTGTTTGTAAGCATTCAAAGTTTTTAGTTTCACTATTACTTGAAAGTTCTTTTTTAGTCTTTTTTTTTTTTTTTTTTTAGTTTTTCACAAAAAGTTCTTTTTGAGTAAATTGTGACTACAACATCGTCTGTTGAGCCATTTGTTGTGAAACTTTAAAACTTCTTATTGGGAAAAGTCCAAAAATCAAATAGATTATTTCCAATTTGGCTTTAATGATCATAGAAAAAATTGTATAGGTGATGTTGCTCTAGACTTGAATAAAACTACTTTTTTATGTTATTTTTTATTTAAATTTTGTAAGTTAAATGTGTGACCATAAAAATAAAATTGCCCTGAAAGAAATTATAATTCACCCATTCTGATTGCAATTAAAAAATTAAACATCAATCATTGATGAAAGAATAATTGCAAAATTAAAATATTGATTGCAATTATTAACTCTTTTTAAAATATGCCATCACAAATATGCGAGTATACAAAGAATTCTATTGCATATTGAGTCTCATTTGTTTTGTAGCATTTTAATATCTATCTTAATTATTAAATTTGTTATACAAAGATTTTACAAATCAGTCTTTAGATTTGTTATAGATCAGTGTAACATTTTCCCGTTGGTAGATAAATGACTTTTTATTCACATGAGTTTTTTAATATAATAAATCTACTTTTAAATAGATTTTTTAAAAAATTATTGTTTTTAGGAAATACTCTATCCAATGGTATAAAATGTCAAGGTTTTTTATGTTCTTATAAAATCAGCACATTTTCCTGTTTGTAGATAAGTAACTTAATTCACAAAAGGATTTTTTAATATAACAAATCTACTTTTAAATAAATTTAGAAATTTAGTAACAAAAAAAAATTATTACTTGTATAAGATGATAAAAAGTTGATAGAAAATCAGATATCCTATTAAAACCTGAAAAATAAAATTGCTATTATACAGTAGTTATTAGTTTATTTAAATCAATGATCAAATTATGGTGTGAATAGATATTTGGTTTAAACAGAACCACCATACTTTATAATTTGTCTACATTGTTTTTAGAATTACTTTTTCTCACCATGATACACATGGTTGTAATTGTTTTTAACTTTACATTATTAAGGTGTTTATATGTTTGTAGTTTTGCTACTGTTAGTAATATTTTAAGATGTAAATCCTCTGACATAAAATTTAAAAATACAATACTGAAAAAGTTCAATATATTTACCTATTCTAAATCCTAATTCTGCACAATTTGGCAAAAGATTAACATTGAAAGAAAAATTTCAAAATGAATTAGCAGAATACAACTGTTTTTTTTGTTTTAATATGCATAAAAATATTTGTTTATATAAAATTGGAGTTGTTATAGTTAAAAATTTTAAAAAGGAAAATAGATTCCTGTGTTATGCAATTTTTTTTTCTGTGGTAAGTTTGGTTTTATAAACTGTGTAAAGTAGTTTCAATATTAAGATTTTGTACATTGACATATATATATATATATATATATATATATATATATATATATATATATATATATGTTTAATAAAAAATACTTTAGATGTTTTAAATATATCAATGATGTATTTAAAACATCGAAATTATTTTGCTCATTGACAAAATATGTGAAAGCACTTTTAAGAAAAATATTGATCTTTGCAAATGAAAAAGAAATCTTAGCCAATGAAATTAAAGAATCTTCTTAGCCAATGAAGTTAAAGAATGTAGAAAAAATGGAGTACTGAACAGACAGCTAGTTTCTTTGGTACTTTACACAATTTATAAAATCATGTATTTACATACACGCATAAATTTACACACTTTAAAGTGTGCAGATTATATATAAAAGTACATACACCTACTGGTCTAACAGTATTTACCTATCTCTCTCAGTCCTTTACCATAATTCAATGTTCTACGCTGAGCAAAGTATGCTGGATCCTTACCAAGACTCTTGCCGATTCAATCACCGGCCACGCCCTTATGAGGTAAGTATTTTTATATTTTTGAACCTAATTCAGTACCCTAATTTGCATAAATAATCACTCACGGCTGGTTGGTAAATTAATTATTCCTCAACTAGTGTTGGCAAATTTTATTATGATCTAATAATGATTGCAAATAAAACTAAGATTTTCAAAATCAAAGTGGTTTGCATATTTCAAATACGATAAAAAATGGGAATATTTATAATTATTTTGATCCTAGACCCCCCCCCTATCCAACCCCTTCTTAGGTAATATGATTTGTGACTAGTACTACCATACTTAAATTCTTGTGTATTAGGTATTCATACACATATTCTAATGTTTGTTACTTTTAAATAATTTTACCCTTCTGGTATAAGGAGTTTGATTTTTTTTTTTTTTTTTGTTTATATCCCTGGTTCATTCTTCTTTAGATCCTATTTTCACTCCTCTCGAGTCGGTTTTTAGATTATTTTCTTTTACATGTCTTCATGCTTTAAGCTTAAAGTAACCCTCTCCTCCACTGTACTCTCTGTTTCTGGCGGAAAAAAGTTTAAAATAATCTGAAATTACTAAATATGTACAGACTTGTGAGCCCATCCTGTAAAAAATGATGACAATTGTTAGAAAGTTTTAATAGTAAGGTGCCATGAAACAAAAGTTTTGAATCAATCTATTGAGATTTAATATAGTGGGGATCCAGATTTCACAATTAAAATAGAGGTCAATAAACCATTTAATTAATCTATTCCCTTTATATTTTTTTAGACAGTCAATGGTATTTATGGTTCACTGATTACTCCTGGTATTATATAAATCACTTTTGCTCAATATCTTTTCATGTTAAAACTTATATGCTTAATATAACAGTAAAGTAGAAATATCTTTCAGAAAAATAAATATTAGCAACAGAATGACAAAGCCTATTTCAAGACCAAGTTGATCACTTAATAGACAAAGGTATCTGAGTGTCTCACATGAAAGGCTTGAACAAATAAGACTACAATCTAAGAAATGCAGTAGTAAAGGAACTGATTAAACAATTCTTTTTGCTCAGGGAGTAATTTTGTTTAAATGTAGATAAATATTTTATTTTTATAGATTATTAAAATGACTAAAGGAAGTAATCACTCATAAATTTACTAACTTGTTTATTTCTTTGCCCACTAGAGATGGGACAGAAGTATATAAATAAATACACATTGATAATTATATGATTTGATAATGTAATGGATATAGGCATAGAAAGTGGAATTGGCAAGCAAAGTTCAAATTCCAGCCTAGTGTTGCATTCACTTTCACACTAAAAGCAAGGCATAAATCTTTCCTCCAATCGTGGCTAAAATAGCAGGGTAGATTAGACTCTCTAGCTTTAGGTGACAACCAGTCTAAGAAAAGGAAATTCCAAAATAAGGAAGGTAATGGGAAATCTCTTCACTATTTTTTTCACAAAAAAGGCATGGCAATTCACCCATAATAACGGAAGGGAAGCTGTAGAGAGTCATGACCGGCTATATACTGAAAGGATATGGCATTTAAAAAAAAAGTTAGTAAAGTTGGGGTAGAGAGTTGGAAGCATAGAAATGTAAATATTTGGTTGTTAATTAGATTGAATATAATTGTTTATTTAAGGTTGATTTAGTACAATAATAGGTGACGTTATCTTATTTAAATTATTAGTTGTTACATTTTTGTTGAATTTATTCTTCAACATCACAATTATCAGCACTGTACACATGCTTATCCTTTCTATTTGGTCAACTGTTTTATTAAAGTTGTCATCTTCCTCTAAGATATAGGCCAAATAAACAGCAGTAAAGCCAAGTTTTTATTTGTTGCCATTTTACTTCTTTTCTGTAAGCATTATCAAAATATAAATAAAAAACACCTTATAAATTTCTTATAAAAACAAAGGAAATATGAAAAATATACAGGCCATTGATTGATTTTTTTTTTTTTTTTTTTTTAAGGTTATTATTTTTTGTAGTTCCAAAAATGTTAAAATGTGTGTGTATATAGATATATATATATATAACCCAATCCAAACAAATGTAAAAGAACGAAGAGTAAAATTTCTGCATTTAAAACAGGGCTAAATACAAAAATAGAGCAATAAATATTTATTTATTGTGCACTGTTGCATTAGAACCTGTACATAGCCATTACAAAACTGTACATCTTGTTTCAATGCTTCAAGTAGGAAATCACAATGCTACTAAATTATTTTATTCCGAAATACAGTTAACGAAGCACATCTCCCACTTTCGTCTTTCGAAAAATTTTACATAAAAGGTAAAAAGGATTTACATATGGAGAAAGAAAGCTAATTGGTTAATAACAGCAAAAGAGGGGAGAGAAACAAAATGAAATAAAAGATGAGACTAGTATTCACTGAATACTTCCAATCTCAATCTTTTCTTCAACCTTCTCTTCCCTTTCTTATATATATATATATATATATATATATATATATATATATATATATATATATATATATATATATCATTCAACCTTTAGAACTTTATCAGATTAAAGTGTTTACATTGATGTGATTACATATGTGCATGAAGGAGAGGTGGATACTGAAATTTTAAATTTAAAAAAAAATCTTTTTAGTGTGTTTTGGGTATATAATCTAGCCAATTTCAATTACTTTTTTTCTTTTTGTTTGTTATCACATTTATTATTAAATATCCCTTAATAGTAGCTCAGCCAAGAAAAGTAAAATGTAAGAATCTGTATGTTATTTACTGTGGATGATCTAGTAATTAAAGTGCTTTCTATAGATTTTCATCTTAGCAAATTGCTTTCTCCTTATATAGAGAGTCACGAATTTGAAGTTTTGTTTTATTTATTTTCATACTGTAGTATACTAATGTTATCAACATATATTTTTTTTTTATATATATTTTATTTATTTTATATATATTTTATATATATTTTATATATACTTTCAAAAATTATGTCTACTCAGCTACATACCTATATTTATTTTTACAATAAACACTAATATATTTTCTATTTTTTATAAGGCAGATGATGATTATCTCCATTATAAACCATATTGTTACTAGTGTTAGTAATAGTCACAATTTATATAAATACTAACTGTAGGCATTTGTTGGTTTTTCAATTTCAACTGGTATTTGATACCAAATTATATCAAAACATTTTTCACATTTCTTTCATTCCCAGAAAAAATATTTGATGCAGCAATAAAAGTAACAAAATATGTCAAATTTATAATGTTTTTCATGTTTGTTTGTTACTTAATGATTCTGTTGGATTTAATCCATGCTTTTCAGTTTATACTTAATATACTGAAATTCACTTTTCTTGCAAATTGACAAAATCACCTTTAATATCTTAATCTGAAACATTGTTTAAAATCCTTTTATAGAATTCCATGAATAACTGAACCAGGAACTTCATATTTTCAGTCACAAATTTTGAGATCAAAACCACAAAATAAGGGTGCTTATATGAAAAATTTGTAATAACCACTTCTCTAGAAATTCAGATATTTTATACTTAAAATCAGGAAAACACATTTGAAATTTCTTGAGTACATAATGAGGAAAGTGGGATTTGATAATTTGATTTTTTTTATTTTCTTTTTATATATTTATTTATTTTACTTAAATACTTATTGAAGAAATAAGTTGTTTATTGCTCAAAAGATAATGTTCATGTCTTGCAATGTTAACCAAATCAATATTTTTTAGAATAACTTTCATCCTTTGCTTGAAAACCTTTTGATAGACAAGACTTAAAGAATTTGTGCTCTTTTTCTAATGTTTATAAATTTCTTTATTACTCCACTGATGATTATAGTCATTCAGATGGACACTTACTAAAAGAATAAAATCATCTTTTCTTGAGAATATAGATTTTTGACTGGTCTTCCTCTTGTTTATAAAATAAATCAATTGAATTTAAATTGACAAATTTTAGGATGCTTGAATAAAGGATATATTGTCATTTTATATAAATTTTATCTGTATAACAAATTGGTGAACTGTATTGTAAGATTTTTGTTGATATTTTTATATTGAAAAACCATGATATATAATTTTTTATATATCAGAACAATGTTAGTCAAATGAATGACAAAGTGGGGGGAAAAACAAATCTGTGTAACATATTTTGTCCTCTAGAAGGACTTTATTGGATTTAATGTTTTTGTTGATGGAATCATATATGTATAGCGGGGGGGGGATGAGTCGGTCCTAATTATGAAAAAATAGGAAACTCTAAAAATGCCAGAATTTTTTTTTTTTTTTTTTTTTTCTAGATGTCTGACCAATTTCATTTAATTTCTATATGCTTTTGTTTTTATCCTTATTATTATTATTACACATTTGTCTATATTTATTTAAATTTATTGTAGTTAGAATTTTTATAAATAGTTTCTATTGGATATATAGATTAAAAATCATAACTAATGAATGTATAATATATATATATATATATATATATATATATATATAAATCTTACTAAAAATTGATAGACTTTATTTTTTAATCCAATATTTTTTAATAAAAAAAACAAAACAAATGTGCCCTTCAGCAGGATTCTAACTTTGCAGGAGAAACACCCCGCCATGAACAGTCAAAGCACATCAGACCAGGCAGTTGTTTCTCCTGTAAAACAGGGATACAAATTTCTTGAGTGCACAGGATGGTAAATTAAAATAAACAGTGTCTACTCAAATATGGGTATCCACTAAAAAAAAATAACAATTGAATTAATAAAAATATTTCTTTCTCTCACTTTGCCTTGAAGGTCATATCCTTTATTGTATTCAATAAATTTGGTCTTGTCCTTTTAATTAAAATCAAATGTTGCTTAAAATTTGGAAAATTAGTGACCTATAAAAAAAATGTTAACTATATAATCCACGCTATCAATGATATACACTATAGCATTTGGACTGTTGTCCTCATTTTTATTACCATATTCATGATGTTTTGGCTGTTGTACACTCCAACCTTCTTGGAATTTCAAATCAAAATTTTTA